AAGCAAAGAAATAGCGAAACGCGCGGCAACCCGCCAAACATCAAAAATAACGCTGGCGCCATCGCTGCGGGGCGGCCGCGCCCGCGCGGGCGGCGGCCGCCGAGCGCGCCCCCTCTCCGCGCCGCCCTGCAGCGCTGCGAGCGCGCGCGCGGCCCCCCCTCCCCCGTCCCGTCAGCCCAGCATGCCCAGCCCCACCCTGCCCAAGGCTGGGGCAGGCTAGACTTCCCAGTGCGCTGCGTGGAGGAAGCATCCCTTGTCCTTCCTTCCAAATGAAGCACCCATCCTGTCCTGTGTCTCGACCTGGTGTAGGGCCGCGACGTGGCGCAGGTTCCTTTGGAGTGGGCGCACTGGTGCCCTGAAATCTAGCTGCTGCGGCGGCCGCTGCCGGTCCTATGGGTCGTTGTCGTTCAGCAGGTTGCCCCGCGTATCGCTGCTGCTTGTTGCCCCCAGGGTTAGGATCATCTGGGCTCTTCCGCTGCTTTTTTCTTGGGCTTAGGATGATCTGGACCAAGAGATTGGCTTGGTGAATCAGAGTCAGAAGACGAAGGGAGATCGATTGTTTCTGGCTTCGGCTTGGGCGCTGCCTTTGCCGTAGCTCCTGCAGGTGCCCCAGGTGCGTGCCGTCTACAGCGCTTTATAGGACCTCGGTCAGGATTCAGATCGCTGCCACCTGGCCTCCTAAGGGCCATATTCTTAATGGGAACTTTCTTTTTCCCTTTTACGAAATACTTATCGGCGTCTCGTCTTTCGAGTATGCGCGTCGTGTTCCAGCCCGCGCCTGGAGCGCGGTAAACAATCCGCCTCTTAGGGGGGAGATCCATCTCTAGTGACAACGTACTCGGGTTCGATCGGGGTATCCGTCACACACGTAGCGTCCGTAATGCCCGAATCGCTTGACTCACCGTCGTCAACGGCAGCTTCCGCGGGATCAGCTTCTTCAGTCATTTCCGCATCTTCGTCTTCACCAGCTTCTTGTTGGCTTTCTTCTTCTGATTTATGGTCGGCAGGTTTCCCCGCGTGCCACTCGCGATTGAACTGCGCCAAAGGGTGACTAGGTACCACGTTCTGCCAACTGGCCTTTGTCTGAGCGATCTCTGCGCGAGTGGCAGGGGCGCACTCCTTCTCCGTCAGCCGCTCATGATCTGGCGTTTTGTTGGGGTCAGTACAGCGACCCCGACATTCTCCATGAGACTAAACCCACGGTGTTCTTTTGAAACTCGGGCTTCTTGATGGGCGTCTCATGGGGCAGCCAAGTCTGCGATCAGCATGCGATGGGCATGTGCAGCAACCGCCTCTGCAATGCTTTCGATCCTCGATGATGGCCCTTTTGAGACCGCGCTCGACCATTGTTTCTTGCGATCTGATCTTGCCCTTCTTGAAACGAATGATAGTGCCTTCGTGATTTCGTTTCGCCTGGCGAAGAGAATGCCAGTGTCGGATTTGATGCTCGTTCCAACCTTGTCCCAACTAGTATTCCATCTGGTCTGCGGGCATGCGCTGACGAGCCAACTCAGCTTCACTGTAGCCTTTTAAACGCTGTATGTCACCTTCTGAATATGACTCACCTTGATGTTGGCCATCTTGAGGCGGGCTTCCCCGCAGACGGCCCCTCCTTGGTGGAGCATGCGCTTTTGTCGCCTGCCCCGGCGGGCCACTTGAGGTTCCCGCATCAGGGGGTGAAGGCGCTGAATACCGCTCGAAAGAACACCGCTGGAACGAGCTCGCGCTCGATCTGGTGAGGGGCCGGGAGCTCGACCGCGACGTGCCACGCGGTCATCGCCCCCCTGTTCGCCCTCCTCGTCCATTGGGGAAAGACTTGGATCATCATGCTGCTTCTTCCTCATCAAGGGTCGACGGCTTGGCGATCGTCTCGGGCTGCTGGCAGACCGATCAGACGCAACAGAAGTATACTGGAATTCTTCACTATGCCCTAGCTCATATTGAACGCGCTCAGATAGATCACCAGCGTCGCGCGGGTTTCCCTGTAGTGGATCATCATCGATTAATACCGTGCTTGTCGGGTTTCCAATCACCCGATAATAAAGCATTGCATGCGCTTCCTCCTCTGTTGCAGGAGTGGTAGAATCTGAATCCGCGGGTGCCCCCACCATGCTGAAATCGCCTTCGACGGGCGCGTGGAAGCTCTCTACAAACTCAATATCTGCAGGTTGCCCCGCAATGGGTGCACCCAGCCACTCTGCCAAGTCGATGTCGCTGTGGCCAGTGAACACCTCCTCGAACAGCTCGTCGGCGTAATTCTCGACTTAGATGCCTGGCAGCCACGAAAGGAACAATTGTGGCTGAGCCGTCCGCAGGGTCGGCTACAAACGACTCCCAATCAACGTACTGTATGTCGGAGTCCGTTTGGGCCAGATGAATTGACGGACCCCTGCCTCTTCCATCGCCTTGGGGGCATTCGCGTCGGAAATAATGTACTGTGACATATGTCGCTTGCCATGGTTTTACCGTTGGCATCTTTTGGGGTTCCTCGTCGTTCTTTACCTTTACCTGATGTATGCCTACGGTTTCTGCCAGTACCTAAAAACAACTCTTCATGTTGAAGTCCAGTGAAAGACGCTAGGGATGCTAGTATGCCCCTACCGTGTGGTCGCCGACGCTTACCTTTGCCTTTACGTCGACCCCTGCCTTTTCCGTTAAGTGCCCGCCGTACCATACGTCTTACTCTTCTGACTGGTTTCTTCATGAACCTCCGCCAACGACGCTTGTGTTTTTGATAGCCCAAACATAACCATTGAGCTTGCTGCTCTTCTGTAAGATGTATGTAGGCTTATCAGAGTAATCCGAGGCGGTAGCTTCATCATCGGAAGACGTATCCGCATCGGTGCCGGAGTCGAAGTCGGACTCGGCGGGTTGCCCCGCTGAGCCCATTAGGCATTGGGGTCATAGCTTGCATAAGGGAAACCGCGTCAGGCGGCCCCCTAGGTCTGGCCCAGGAGTCTTGCGACCCCGAGGCCGTTCCACCATTCTGAAGCAGCAGTGCAGTGGTCTCAGTTGGCGCTGCATCGTCGTTCCAGACGTCGTTAGCAGGTTGCCCTGCGTTGGCCTCTGCGTGGGAAGTCTCGGTTCGGTGACAGTGACTAAAAATACCAACGATGTTGCCAGGGGTCCTCTCGGCTATGTGAGCAAATGACCGCGTGCGTTCGAGTATAGCGTCAAATTGTGCTTGGTCCCTCGGCACGTGGTGGTTCACAAGCTGCAGGAATTGTTGTGCACGCGTCGCCCCCACTCCAAGAGCTCTGAATAGAATTACTGACAATATTTGGAAGTTGGGGATGTTGAAGCCGGCGGTTTCAGCTGCGTAGCGGGCTATTTCGAACCGTGCTGACGTCTGGTCGATACGTTCTCCCGCATGGACTCGAAAGTCAATGAGAGCCGTGCCAGAGTTAAGTTGGCGGTCCTCTTCTAGGTTCTCGAACTTCGTACTGAAGAGGAACATAATGTAGGTGACGCCGTCGGTGTGGCGACCACCTATGTTGACGCCAAAATTGATGACTGCTGGGGGGACTCTCATGGCTGTGGTCCATGCGAGCCCTCCCAGACCGCGCTGCAGTGCGGCGGCCTGCTGGGGGGCGTCATGTTGCCTGTGGTCACGTTGATCCAGGCACGTACTTCGCGGACGAATTCGCGAAATGGTACTTGACCGGCAGGATCCCAATGGGGGCCAGACGTTCTCGTGTCGTCTCCGCCCCGCATATGTCCTACCGCACACCCGAGAGCGACCCATATGAACCCAAAGATAGTAACCCCAATCCAATGGCCTCGCAGGTCGTAGTCGGATGTAGTCGGTGGAGACTTATGTTTTGTCGTCGTAAATCGGCGTGGGGTAGGAGGCGGCAGGATATCGTATCGCATGTTTCCATGCATTATGTCTTCGAAGAGATTTCCGATTGGAGTAAGTGGGTGGACTTCAGGAGTGTAATAGCGCAGGGATGTAGCATATGGGTAAGAGACCTCTGCTTGAACAGAGGTATCGCTGCAAGTTTCCTTGCGGTGCTGGGTAATTATATACATTCCTCCGCGCAATCCCACTGCACCCTGATGTTCCACCATATCCGTAGTCCACCAGATAGTGCCGTGGATGGTGAGGAATAGAGCAAGAGCTGACCACCATAGGCCAGCTCCGCTACCAAGTTTGAAGGGGGCTGGGAGGCCCAGCCAACAGCTTCGCCTCAGGCGAAGCAAAGCTCCCGCTCTGTTGTATCGTGATAGCGATAGTCCCAATGTGAGAGGAGAAGCCATCTCAAGCAATATGAAGATCCTTTTGGTTTCGATAGCGATTGTGTGCCTCGTGCTGAAGCACCGTCAAATCTGGGCGGCCGGCCGCTTGACCCAACGCGGCCGCGGGCGCACGCTCGCTTCCACTCCTTACGTCCCCCAGCTCGCTTTAGAATCCCTCTTGGGCCGTCCTGGGGGCCTCTTGGGCCGTGTTGGGGGGATTGGGCCGTCGCTTGGTCCCTTTGAAGCCCTCTTGGGCTGTCTAGGGGGCCTCCTGTGGCTCTCTTGGGGCTCTCTTTCTTAGGACCCTTTTGAAACCTTCTGGGGCCTGTCTTGGGCCGTCTTCGGGCTCTCTCGGGCCGTCTTGGAGCCCTCTTGGGCCGTCTTGGGGCCCTCTTGGGTTGTCTTGGGGCGATATTGGGGGCCTCTTGGGTTGTCTTGGACGCTGTTAGGACCGAGGAAGCGTATATGTTAACATATACGCTTCCCGAAGGAATGCTACGATTTGTGCCTTTTGGGGGCCCTCTGGGGGGCCTGTTGGGCCGTCTTGAGGGCCTTTGTGTCCGTATAGAAGCCGCCTCGCGCCCACTTGGAGCGCTCTTGGGCCATTTGGGAAGTATCTTAGGGCGCTTTGGGAACCTCTTGGGCCAATTTGGGGGCCTCTTGGGCCCGTGTGGAGGGCGCTTTCGGCTGTCAGGGAGCTCCTCCGACAAGTGCCCCCAGGCTGGGGGATGCCGTCCAAAAAGTATGGGAGAAGGGTGTGGCGGCCATCCGGGGGGGTCCATGCAGGATGTATAATTCTATGGATATGTTTCTTTTTGAGGGAGAGACTCAGGCTGCGAACGGCACGATGCAGCCACACAGGAAAGATGTGACGACTCCTTGCGTGCTTCAAGGTGCATGCTCGCGCGATCGTCGTACCATGGAGCTTGTCAATATCGGGAACGGCTTAAAAGGTTTGGTTCGAGAAGGCCGATTTCGACGGCTGTTGAGGCGCCGCAAGTTAATATTGGGGGCCTCAGGTCGGGATGGGGGCGGGCTTCAAGTCTAGGGAAACCCACCTTGTCCAACGATTCCTTCTGTCAACATCCGACAATAACGTTGCCGCGCTCGCTGCCGTGCACATCTGCCCTCCGGGCGAGGGCGGAGGAGGGTTCGGCGGAACCTCTGTGTGAGACTGGCTGGCGAGCCAGACCACACAAACGGCAACTTCTTTTCTTTCTCTTCCTACCCAGATCTCCATTGACCCATGCCAAACAACCAACTCCTGGTTCAGTTGCGCGTCCGTCGCGCTGTACACCCACTGGCATGTCAGACCTGTGAGCTTGCAGTACGTCTCGCGGGTGTCGTTGGAGTAGTCCTCTGTGGCGGCGGCGGACGAGGAATAAGAGGATGAAGGGGAGGGGGGGGGACGGATGAAGGGAGTGATCAAATGAGTGTGGTGACGGCGGGAAGGGTGGAGGGAAGGGGCGTACGTGTTATGAGGATGAGGAGTCTGGGGGTTAAAGATGGGAAGCGATGGGGGACGACGGAGACGGTAAGGGTGACGACGTGGGCGAAGGAATACGAGGAGGACATGCGTACATGCAGAGGCTGGACGATAGGGAGCGCATGACAAGGGGCAGATGGTGGACTGCGACAGGAAAGGAGGACGGACGATGATGAGGTGCAGGAGTAGACCAAGGAGGAAGACGAGGAGGAGGAGAAGAAAAGGCGGCGGCGGCGGAGGAGTGGATGGCGGCGACGGAGGAATTGATGGCGTGGAGAAGAGGAGGAAGGGGTGGAGGAAACGAGGATAATGAGGAACGCGGGTAGGAGGAAAAGGTGGAGGAATCGGGGCGGGGGGGAAGTGGATGGGCTGGGAAATGATGGAGTAGAGGGACGAGGGGGACTATGAGGGGAAGAGGGGTGAAGAGGACGAGGGGGAAGGGCCCAGCGTGGATGAAAATATGCCTCCCCGACTAGCCGCGCCCGCCGCCGTCGCGGTGGGCCCCGCGCGCGCGGGCCTGGCCGGCACTCAGCCGTCGAAGAAGCGGCGGGTCGTGTCGAGCACTGTGTCGTAGTTGTCGACGGGGCCTTCGTTGCCATCCGGAGCGAGCTCGCCAGAAATGGGGAGCATATTTTAATCTTCGTGGCCCCGAAAAGGGAGTACAGAACCAGAACCCGAAGAGCCCATAATCAGTTTCTCATGGTTGGTACCTTGGACAGGTGGCTTGTTTGAGTAGGCCTGGAGGACGGCGTAGAAGGTAGCAACATCGCCGCGATCGTCATCGGGTAAGACGGGCAAGAGCTGGGTGGTGGGATTGGGCGCTACGAGGTATAAAGGGCGCGGAGGCTGAATCTCTTGCCGCCGTCAATGACGCAACAAACCAGATCGCCATCTCGAAATACTTCCGCGGCCGAGGATCGAGAAACACGCGGGGTCGCCATCCCTTGGGGTTCCCCCACTGAACGCGGGGAGTGGCACGTTTGCGTTCCAAGTCATGCGGATCCATGGGCAACAACCCCCTCAACAATGCAGCTCTCGACTCCGCTCCCTTATCCCAAATGCCGTCACATAGATGCGCTGACGTCAAATGATGCCTTCCGCGATAATCGTCGTCAGGAATGTCGTTTAAAACAGATGGTCGAATAAGGGTTGTCTCGGTTACGCCTTCGCAAAGCCGGCTGCCCGGCAGAAGCGCAGGGCTTCCGAGCAGGCGGCAGATGATGGTCTTGTGCTTCATCCTCCTTCTGATGGCCCTCGGCCTCTCGCTGAAGCCGCGCCACCGCCAGCAAGTGCAGCTGGCCCAATCGCAGACCTCGGGGGAAGTCTTGCTGCAGAGACCGCTCCAGCAGTTGCTCGATGTCAAGGCGCTGATTTCCCCTTGCAGTCTGAATGTTCCTTGACTTCTCGGCACCAGTTCCCAGAGTCTGCTGCTGGGAGTGCAGTTGGCGCCACTTCCCGCCGCGCACTGGGGCGACAACCGCCAGGGCCACCATCTGCGCGCGCCAAAGATCACCCGCGATCCAGTGCGCACCAGAGGGGGGCTTCGTCAGGGAAGCCTTCCTCTGGCCGCGTTGAGGGCGATGCTGGATCCGAACCTGGCCAGCCTCAGCCTTATACGGAACGGAGGAAATAGTCTGCCCCTCTTCCGTTCAGGCGGCAGTCCCGACACTGCCGATTCATATGTGCTCAGGTATCCCAGCCCGGTGGCTACATATTTTGCGTAGTTCTGCACCCTTGTACTTCAAAGTCCTGCTGCAGTTCATCTTCTGAGGGGTGTAATTTCCTTCTTCGGCTTCGCATTCTGCATGTGCGCCAATCATAGGCCGCGTTTGCTGCGCCAGGTCTCGAACAGCCTGGCGCGTTCGTTTTCAAATGCGCTGGCAGCCCCTGTTCAGTTTCCTTTCGCGCCTTCGTAAAGCTGACGTTCCGCTGGGCCCGGTGCTGTCTTTCCTCCCATTGCTTGGACAACCTGCAGAGAAATTGCTAAGATGGCCTCGCAGCGGTCGCGCGTGTGCTCGGGGGCGACAGCAACGAGCCATGCGAGCGAATGAAGGATATTGTCACAGACGGGGACAACCTCCAGCATCTTGATCTGGTTCACCACAACATTGAACATGACTTTTAGAATCTCCCAGAAGCAAGGGGGGGCTGTCAGGCGCATCCGCGTTACTGGCATTGGCCAGCTGCTGTCTCGGCAACGCGCGGTTGGTTGCGAGGAGACTGCTGCCGTCTGACTGTCGACCGCCTCAGCTGCAGGTGGATCAATGGGGTAGATGTTCCTCCTCGAGCTCAGGGGCAGCAGCGAAAAGCCATCTTGCGATGCCCACGTGCCCCACAGGTCGCGAGGATGGTGAATCCTCGCCGGACTAGGCATGCTCAGCGAATTGATGCTGCAGCGTCGCGCCGCCAGGGCGCTCGCGTGGCAGGCGACAGCTCTGCCCCAAATGTCGCCCTCCAACGCTTCCATGGACGAAATATGCCCATTGCGAACATGCGCGGTCCGGGTCTACGGCGTCTCGCAGGTGCCCCAGGCCCCGAGCCGTTGCGCGCCGGGAAATGAAGTGGGCAGGCGTGGCGCGCAAGCGCGAGGGTGGACGAGGCATAGTCATCCAGGAGGACAACAATGAGCAGGGCGCACCAGCCACTCCAATCATCCATGCCCAGCCAATACCCGTGATCTGTCATGAAGAAGCACTGCCCAGACAGCATTTCTACGTTTTCGATAGGTCGCCAAGCGTGGAGGGCACCTGGCCGCGGCATGCCCATCGGGGGCGGCTTGCCTCATGCGGGCAACCAGAGGCGACCCCTGCGAAACGCGCCATCATCGACGCATTGCGGGTGAGCGGCAAGCTCGCGAGCGCCATGGAGATCATCATGGGCACCGATAGGAACGCGCATGCCACCGATCGACGACGACGCGATAGAAGAACAGGCGAACGATAACGGAGAAGCGCGCTGACCAGGGACAGTCGGGGGAAGAGGGTCAGCATTGCCAGCGCCAGGAAAGATGGAGCCGCCGAGGGCCTCGAAGTGCTGACAGACCTCGGCAGCGACGCCACCTTCAGCCGGCAGCGGACCATCCAGAAATGCATTTCCGTTCGTCCAGTCGGGAGATTGGTGTGCCAGCAGAAGCGGGTGAATGTCGTGGCTGCTAGATTGTCCTTGATCACGAATTTCCTGATTATGCTGCATGCCGCCGCGAAGGGCCGCAATGTCCTCGTCCAGCGCGTGCCCGATGTCCGCGTAGGCGGTGAGAAACGTAGATCGCGGGGGTGAGCTGGAATAGGAAGTGGCGCTGCTGCTGCCGCCGTCTTGAACGCAATTATCTGGAAGCTCGCCACCTTAATGCCTCGCTAGATTGACGGTCGGGAGGGATTGCTCCATCGGCGCATCGTCGAAGTCCTCGAAGAACTGCTGCCTAGCAGAGCATCGCATGCGCCTATGATCAACTTGACAACGTATGTTCACCAATGTTTCCTTTGCGAAAGCGAAGGCCGGGTTTTTCCTGAATGGCTCGTGGCCAGGCCAACCGCGCGTGAGTTGCGCTCTGTCATATTCGCGGGACTCAACAGAAACATGCCATGCTTCGTCGCGCATATATTGCGACAGCGGTTTGCGCATGTGGAGGGCCGTGCTCTCTGCTGAGTGGAAGAGCGGCTCGAACATAGTGCCGTAGCACTCGGTCCCAATATTTTGAGCCCCGTCCCTTCTAAGAATGAAAATCGGATCCAGCGAGGCCCAGGGCGTAGACTGCGGCGGGGGGGGGGGCCCGCGAACCCGGCGGCGCGCCCGCAGGAGAAGGGCGGCTTTAGCATCGCTGGCGCGGTGGCGCAGTGCCGAAGCCGCGGGCGCCGCGCTGGCTGCGCTGGACGCAGCGCCACAGGATGACGCCGCTGCACCAGTAACCATGCTGGTCTGCTCTAAGGTCGACAAATCGTCGACGGCGGGCGCCGCGCCACCAGGAACAGGATCAGCATTTGGAAGATCAGGGATACAGGGAGGGCCCTGGAGAACAAGTTTATTTTAAGCAACTGGAGAAAAAGGAAGGTGGTGGGCGCCAGGAAGGAAAGCACCGCGTGGCGAGAGCGGGCCAGCGAAAGCTCCAGTGGCGCCCGGACTGGAAGACGGGCCAGCCGCAGGATCAGGAATAACATCTTCGTCTCCAGCCATGCCCCCTATGCGCGCCTGGTGCCCGCAGTGGCCAAAGTGGCAGTCGCATTCCTCGTCGGCCATCGCCTCGTCTTCGCGGGGGGTCCCTCTAAGGGGGGCATCCATGAGCTCTATGTCGGAATGCGCGCGCGGGGCAGGGCTGCCGCCGCTGTCCGCGCTGCGGATGTCGCGAGGTTGAACGGCCACTTCCGAAAGAGTGCTCATCACCGCCATTGTGTCTGGTAGGACTCATGCCGACGAAGATCTGGCCCTCGCCTTGAACGCCTCCACGCAAGTGGCGAGGAAGGCGCGCCCGAAGATCGAGAGCGGGCGCAGGCTGAGGCGGCCGTTCGGCGATGCCAACAAGGAAGTCTTGCCTCTCATCCCACCGCGTGCGAGAGGGGCCAGGGCCCCGCCCCCGTTGTCGAGGGCGTTCGTGAGCGCGCATCCTGGTCGCAGTAATCCTCGCGTCGTCTTCCCGCGGCCATGGAACACGCAGGTGTCGTCGAAGGCTGCGCGTGGAGTGGGCGAAGAACGCCAGCCAGCTAGGCGCATTTCTCCTGCTGAGGCTCGCCCGCCGATAGGAGAGACCGCGCGACAATTGTCCGGGCGCCAAGTCGAACCCCGGCTAGAGGCCTTCATGTCGCCGCAAAGTCAAAACGTACCCGACGCGCCAGAGCATCCAGGTGTCACGACGTGCTCTCGCGTCCTCAGCGGAGATA